GAGACCTGGTCAGTGCTGATCCACCAAGCACCTTCTCTGGGTTTAGCCTCTTACTTCTGCTATCACAGGAAGTGCTTGAAGACCTAAACTCTGACTTTGAGCTCGTTGCTCTATCAGCCACCCTGACACTTGGACTGCTCAGCTCCCTCCCCGCAGACAGGTCAGCATGCAGTGCTCAGTCCAGTGCCCAGGGAAGGAGAAGCAGTCACTGCCTTCAGGGACTACCTTCAACCATCTTCCTCTTGGGAGTCCCCAGCAGCGTCTGTGTTGTCACAGAGGCCCCCGGTAACGGCAGGCACTGCGGAAATGCTCGGCCATTATCTTCCAGTTACAGAAAATACTGTCCTAAATCTGCCTTCCCAGTGGATGACAAGATGAGGCAAGATTTTAGACAGTGAATCTCAGCCCCGGCTGGATGTTGGAATCATTTAGGGTGACTCACAAAAACACCAAGGGCAGGCCTTCCGCTAGGATGTCCAGTTTTAATTTCATTGACTTGGAGAAGGGGCCGAGTTGTGCTCCAGAAGTCTCACATCTCCCACTTTCTAGCTATACCACGGTGATGGACCCATGTCACTGTCTTCAGCCTCCATCTCGTCTGTGGTGGGAGAGGTAACACCTCCCACGGGGCGCTGTGAGGATTCAGTGAGACAAGATGCAGGGATGCACCTGGCCCCTGATGCCCGGATAGTAAATGGTGTCTTCAAGAGCAGATGGATCAAGAGCTGTGGTTTCAGAAGAGGCTCACCCTGTGAGCTGCAGGGCCTGACGGGACTCCTTGAGGGGGGCAGACTTTCCTCCGTGGCAGAGGAATGCTGACATTTGGAGGAGAGGCACAGGGACACTCAGGTGTGGGTACTTGGGGCCCCTCCTCTGAGCCCCACACTTTAGAGCACTGTGCACTGGCCTTCCATATGCACTCTTTGACCTACGAGGCAAGAATTCAGTTGGGATCCAATGTCATGCACCACCCCCAACCCCAAGAAAACTGTATGCATGGCTTTTGCATCGGGACTTTAAACCCTGCCTGAACAGCCGGAACATGCTTCCCGTCCTTCTCCATGCTGCACCTGGAGAGAGGAGACCCTGCTTCCACTTTGAAACTGTGGTCCCTGAATGTGGCTTAAAGGTGATCAGTTGAAGGACATGGGAACAGATCTTGGGTTATCATTCTGGAGGTCTACTGACATGGACGTGAGGCTCTACAGGGTGTGGAACAGAACTAGAGCTGGTAAGAGACAAGGGAGGCCAGGAGCCCAGGCCACACAAATGTCACAGGTAGCTCAGGCCCCAGTGTCCACTTGGCAACAACCCATCAAGCTAAATGTGTAAGTGTTTCCACCTTCTGGAATGTTTGTTCTATTAATTTAAAAATCATACTCAATAGCAAATAAATGCTTAGCTCCATGCCTGGGACATAAGAAGTGCTTTATAAATATTAGTTTAGCCACATCCAAATGTACTCACTACTGCTCAAATATGCTCAGACATCTTGCTTAATAGCAGGGTTGGGAGAGGAAACTGCCAATTTAATGGGATTTGGCTTCTTCTAGTTTCAAAGTCTCTTTTGGACAAGGATTCACTGTCAGGTTTTTCTTCCTGCCCTGTTTTTCTTCCATCCTAGGAGTCACCTGGCACGGGGTAGGCGGACAGCCATGGTGGCGATGGGTCTGTTGTTCATCCGGCCTGCTCCTGCCAGCTTCACTGGGTGTGTGGCCCACATTTTCTGGTCTTCGAGCATCAACCTCCAGCCTTGCTGCACATGTGAGTAGAGGTGACTGTGACTGGGTACTGTCTGATGCTTGGACTCAGTTCTCAACCATAGTGCTGCCAGGGATGCCAATTCTGTGAATACAAGGAGTCTTCCAAAAACCCACAGAAAATGCATGTCACAAAAAACTATGTATGGGTTTCAAACATTTTTGAACCTTAAGAAACTTATCTTTTAGTCCCAGTTTCCCATTACTTCTCTGACGTACCTTTGTAGAGCAACAAGCTCTACCCAGCTCCCAGCTTGGAACAATCCCCTTGCAAACCTTGCTAGAATCTCCCCCACTCCAGAGTGACCCCTGGCACTTGTGTGAGCTCTTGGTTTTCAGGTGCTTGTCATTTCTTGACATAAGAGGAAAGGAGGAAGCAGGTGAAACAGACCACTTCCCATGTGCCCAGCTGTCTGCAGGAATGTTCACATCACATGCTGCTCGGCATAATTCTCAACATCCAGGGAGACCAGCCTGTGAGTTTTAAATTCTCATCCAGCCCTGGTGTTAGGGGGACTGAATTATGTTCCCCAAAATCCATAAGTTGAAGCCCTAACACCCAATGTGCTTGTATTGATAGATCGTTAAGGACATAATCAAGGTTTAGAGAGGTCAAAAGGGTGGGGCCCTAGGGTAAGGGTGGGGAAAGGAAGGGCCAACACAGTGTGAGTGAGCACTCCTCCCTACCCTCCCTGTCTGTGTGAGAGACAGACAGTAAGAACACAGGAAGAAGGTGTTCAATTAAGACCAGGAAGGGAATCCCTATACCTTGATCTTGAACTTCTGACCTCTGGAATTGTGAGAAGATATGTGTCTGTTGTGGCTACCCAGTCTGTGGTATTTCTCTAGGACAGCCGGAGCAGAATTTGCACCTGGAGCATTTTTGGCTCTGAGCAGGTCTGGTGCCTGTGTTCCTGATACCTCCAGGGTTCCTGAGACTCACTGTCTGCTGGCACTGCAGTCCCATCTTTTCCCCTATACCCCATCCTCCAAAACAGTTCCAGCATTCCCCCCATAGCCCCTGGGCCCTTCTTCCTACATCTCTCTTGGTTCTTACCATGCTGTTCCTCTGGCCCAGGAACCCATCTGCAACTCTGACAGTTTTTCTTTTTTATGAGGTTGTTTTCATGCCATTTCTGCATGGTGTGCAGCTTCAGACATAGACTATAAATCATATGTGTGTGGCAGGGAGCAGGGGGTGGAGGAGAGCCCATGCCAAGGGAAGAGGTTGAGTTTCCCCTGCTCCATCCCCCACTGCAGGGGAGAAGCACCCTGTGAGGAAGAACTAAAAGCTCCTTATCAACACTGAGCCAGGCTTGGTCCTGTGCTAAAGTACTGCAGAGGCTTTCCTTCCTGGGTGCCCGGCTCCTGGAACCCTCCCCTAGTGAGAAGAAGGTGCCTGTGCCAAGGGAGTGCGTCCCCAGCCACTGAGCTCCATCTCAGCCGCTCATTAATTAGCCTAGGACCAGAGAGAGGACTTTCCAAAGCAGCATAACCAGAACAGAACTCAGTGAAAAGAAGAGTCAGACAGATATGGGTTTGATTTCCAGCTGTGGGCCTTCCTGCAGGATGTTAAGTCATGTCACCCTGCTGAACAGCCATTGTTCCATCTGTTAGATGGGAATAATGACCCTCACTTTGCAGGGTTGAAATGACAATTTCCATTATTGGTATAATTGCCTGGCTGGGGATGGAAATTTGGCCTAGAAATTAAGATGCCCACATCCCACATCACAGTGCCTGGGTGAAGTCTTGGGTGGCTGGCTCCGGCCCTTGACTCCAGCTTCCTGCTAATGCAGACCCTGGGAAGCAGTGATGATGGCTCAAGTCATTGGATTTTCTGCCGCAATCCTGGCCATTTGGGCATTTGGGGAGTGAACCAGCAAACAGAAGCTCTCTGTATATAGCTCTGAAATAAGTAATCTTTTAAAAATGCATAGGTTGAGCTTTTACAGACATGTACCTCATTCTCTTCTGAATCAGTCTTGCCAAAAGATTCCCTGAATTACTCTGTGGGATGAGATGAGACTGGGTGGTGGGTAAGAAATAGCTGTCTTTGTAAGCCTAATTTGTCCTCTGCACCCCCCCCCCACCACCACCACCATGAATTACATCCCTGGAAAAGCAAACTAACCACAATCTTGGCCCAAGCACATCTTTAGGAAGGCAGAGCCACCCCCTAAATGGTGAATTAGTGGGTATTCATCCCTGGACCAACTGTCAATAATCTTGGCATGTGGCAATATGGATTATTCGAATGACTAAACGGAAAGCTTTTCAAAGTCTGCTGCATGGAATTTGCCAGGCTTTGCAGTGTTCTTGGCTCTTAAGAGATCCTCAGTCTCCCACTCCCTTTGGGCTGGTTTGAGAAGCCAGAACCTATGGTGCTGAGTCAGCATCTGAGGGTGTGCAGGAAAAGCCCTCCAGAACTAGATAGTTTCTGGGAAGCATTTTTCTGGACATTCTTCAGACAGACACTTGGCCACGCCACTGTGAGTATGTTATGCCCTGCCATGGGCACACTGCCAAGGGAGTCCACCCCCCACTCCCCACTTCGGTTTGCTATTGTGAAACCAGAGGACGGGGCAGGCTGGTGAGGTGAGGCGGCAGAACACACACTCTGTGCCATGTGTGGGGAAGGTGGGGAGGGGGACAAGAGCCGTGGTTGCCGAGGAAACAGCAGTGGATTAGGGGTCACAAGCCTGGCATTTCAGTTTGTCCTCCTTACTGGCTGTATACACTGGGGCGCCTACCTCACCCCCCAGAAGCCCTGTTGCTTCACACAGTAATACGGGAATGGAAAGACCACCTGTGCACTGGTGTGGAGAGTAAATGCGCAGTGAGGGCCAAGCGGCTGAGCTGAGAAGTAAGTACTACTGGACACGCGCTGTGGTTAAGACCTGGTGTTGGGTCAGACTGAGTGAGTTAGGTCACATTCCTCCCTGCCATCTGCACCAGTGCCCTTCCCTGGAGTCACGTCTGGTCAAGCCACTTGGCCAATGTCACCGGAAGCCCCCCGTGGGCTCATTCCAAGGGGAACTTTCAAAGTTCCTCTCCCTGGCCCTGTGATAGGTGTACAGAAGAAGGCGTGCAGACCCGGCCCCGGGGAGGCAGGGGCTGCAGTGCTCAGAGCAAGCACAGCTCGGGAAGGCCCTCGCTGGGCCCCTGCCCAGGCTGCTGCAGGCCGCTCATCACTGCAGCCAAACCCAGCCGGGCCTTACAGATCCACCTGGGTACGTGTTCCTTGATGCCATTTAATAGAAAAACAACAAATCCAAACACACAACGAGGACACATACACATAAGAATGTTGAGGAGACACAGCCTTGGGGAGACGGCAGGAGAGACCCACTCGGGGCTCTATTTGTTGCTACTCTTGGGAAGGGGCCGGTAGACCCCGACGACCACCGCGTGGTCCCTCTCGTAGGGCTCTAGGGTCAGCTGCTCCTGTGGCTTCAGATTCTCCTGCTGCAACTTCCTCACCTCCGACGCGAACACGGCCTCGGCGGACGCGGTGGAGTCGATGCAGTTGGCCTTGATGGAAATGAGAAAGTGGCCCCCGTTGCGCAGGAAGGTGTGTGCGTTCAGGGCCACGATGCGGGACTGGTCAGGCTGAGCCACGTCGGCGAAGATCACGTCCACCATCCCGATGAGCATGCGGTACTTGAGCGGGTGCCGCGCGTCCTCAAGGACTGGGATGATGTTGGTTCGCTTCTTGGCCACGTTGACCAGATCGCGGCCAGCACGGTGGGAGAACTCGACCGCGTAGACCAGGCCGTCTGGGCCGATGATGTCGGAGACGTGGGACACCGTGGTCCCCGAAGCGGCGCCCAGGTACAGCACTTTGGACTTGGGCTTGATGTGGATCTGATCCACGCCGCCCAGGATGGCGGCTGCCAGCTTGGAGCGGAAGGGGTTCCAGGTGCGGTACTCCTGCTTCACGCCGCCCTCGGTCACCGTGACGCGCCTCTCGCCGTACACCGAGAGACCGGGCACCAGGTTCAGAGTGACCAGCGCGTCCTCCGCCCCGCGGTAGATGAACACGCCTTCGTGCCGGTGCGGCTCCACGGACACCGCGTGCGCGCCCTTCCTGCGGCGGCTCTTGCTTTTGGCCACGCCGCGCCGCTGCCCGCCACTGCCGCGGTCCCTGCAGTTACCCCCGCCGCGCCCCCGGCCCCGGCCGCCGCCGCCGAAGCCGCGCGTCCGCGCCCCGAATCCGCCCTTGCCCCCCGAGCCGCCGCCGCCGCCGTCGCCACTGCCGCTGCCCTTGGTCCCACCGCCGCGCCCCGCGCCCCAGCCGCCGCCCCAGCCCCCGCGGCCGCCCCCGCGCGAGCTCGCCGACTTCATCGCGCGCCCTGGGCGCACAGGTGGACGGTTGTAGGGGGCTGCCGCTAGCTCGGGGCGTCTATCAGGTGGCTCCGGTGGTCGTCCTTACGGGGGGGGGGGGAGAGAAGGCTGGGGACAGCGGTTGCCGGCGCGGTTGGCGGCGGGGGGCGGAGTGGGCGGCGGGTGGCACCAGGTCTACCGCAGTCCCCGCTTTCTGGAGCCGCTCTAGGACGCAGGCACGGGCGTGATTGCATCACACCCGCCTGGACGACCCTGCAGCCCCGGAAGCCCCCTCCCACCCGGCGCGCAGACGCAGCCTGTGTGTCTTTGGGGCCTGTCCCTTCGCTCTCCCCCATCTTCCGACTTCTCGGGGACCCCTGGCGTTCCCCGCCCCCGGGGGGGCCATGGGGACCGAGGCATATCGGTGGCAGGAGAGGGAGAGACCAGCGTAGCCCCACTCTGTGTTGTGGCGCTCTCTTGCTCTGTGGTCTCAGGAAGCTTACCTGACCTAGTCCGAATGTGTGCAAGCTTGCCCTGAGTCTCTTCATCCCCCTGCGGCTGGAAAGCTGCCGCAGGTCAGTTTGGAAGCTTCGCGGACACCCACCCCCAACCTGCGTTTCTGGACTGAGCGCTCTGGAAGCTTTCACTGTTGTTTATTTTTGTGTATTTCTTTTGCTCAACTTTTTTTTTTTTTAATTGAGGGATAATTTACATACAAGAAAATGCACTTTTTTTTGTTTTGTTTTTAAATACAGTCAGGGCTGTTAGAGATTGTGCCATCTGAAAGTTTGGTGGGCATGCAAATTGACAAGTTACCTACTCGAGGTACCTCTATTTTTACCTAGTTATGAAAGTTTCCTCTTAAAGAAATGATCCTTGCAAGAAATGGCGTTGTTCAGATTAGAAGATCCAGAGTGGTGATGGTTGGGCCATCCAGGACTTGGTGGTGGAGGTGAGAGGAAGGGCCTAACCCAAGAGGTACTCAGAAGATAGAACTCGCAGGACTTTCTGATAGGCTGTATGGGAAATCATAAGTAAGAAGTATAAAGCCAGGGATTGCCAAAGTTTAACTGCTCCCCCATGCTGTGGTTAGTGCTCTTGCAAGCTGTGCTCTAGTTGCTGTCTACTTGGCTCTGGTCTGCTCCACCAACTGTGCTAAGTCTCAGAACCTGTGCCATTAATATTAATCAGCAAGAAAGTGTTGATTATTCAGCGCAGGTCCCCAAATCCTATTAACACATTTCAGAAGGAGTTTATTCTTGAATTCTAGTCTGTGCTTTAAAAACTACCAATCTGCAGCATCTTGAGCATTAGAAAGAAAAAAAAAGGAAGAAAGAAAAGAAAAGAAAAAAGAAAAACAGTGCAGCACCATGGACAGCAACAAAGGGCCTACAGGGTGTGCAGTTTGGTCAGCACCAGGGACAGTGGCACCAATTGGGACACATTCAAGAAATAGGAAACGCAGGGTAGGCAGTGTCAGCCACTGATGTGAAACTAAGTGCCTGGTCCAGAGAGACAAAAGCATGCCTTGGGATCAGGGCATAGGACAGGCAGGAGGGTGCTGAACTCTCCAGATGTGTGCATAGCAGAGCTTCCATTCTGGAAGCACTGGTCTTTGTGTCTCACATTCATGAACTGTGATGCCACGTCTGGTTTTCCCCAAGGACATAAGTGCCTCTTTAATGAGAACACATTAGTGTCCACACCAGACTGTGGGTAAGGGGTCAGAGAGGGAAATATATTGCTCCCAAGGTGAGTTGTTTAGATAAAATATTCTTATGAGGTTTCCACTCACTACAAATTGAGATTTGTTCTCCAAAATGATGGACTATGTTTGTCTTGGTTTGGGTTTCCCTAAAAATTTCACCCTATGATGGTTAATGTTATGAGCCAGCTGGGCCATGAGGTGCCTAGATATTTGGTCAAATACTATTCTGGGTATTTCTGTGAGGGTGTTTTTAGATAAAATTAGCATTTAAGTTGCAGGTTGCCTTCCACCAAGTAACTGTGCCTCATCTGATCAGTTGAAGACCCAAATGTGGGGCTGATATTGTGGCATAGCAGGTAAAGCCACCACCTGTGACGCTGGCATCCCATATAGGCAGTGGTTCATGCACTAGCTGCTCCATTTCCAATCTAGTTCCATGCTAATGACCTGGGAAAAGTAGAAGAAGATGGCCCAAGTACTTGGACCCTTACCACCCATGTGGGAGAACCAGTGAAGCTCTTGGCTTCTGCCCGGCTCAGCACTGGCAGTTGCAGCCACCTGGGAAGTGAACCAACAGATGGAAGACTTCCTTCTCTCTCTCTGTAACTCTGACTTTCAAATAAGTAAATCTTCAAAGACAAGGCAAACAAACAAAAACTCTAGAGGCCGGTGCTGTGGCATAGCTGGTTACGTCATCGCCTGCAGCATCAGCACCTGATATGGGTTTGATTCCTGGATGCTCCACTTCTGATCCAGCACCCTGCTAGTGAGCCTAAGAAAGCAGCAAAAGATGGTTCAAGTGCTTGGTCCCCTGTGCCCATGTGGGAGACCCAGAAGCTACTGGCTCTTGGCTTCAGTCTGGCCCAGCCCTGGCCATTGTGACCATTTGGGGATTGAACCAGCAGATGGAAGATTTCTCTATCTGTCTTTCCCTCTCTCTGTCTCTTGGCAAGACTACCTTTCAAATAAGAAATCTTTTTTCTTTAAAAAAATTACCTAAATGAAGCAAAGGATAAATCTTCCCCAATGAGGATGGGATTCTCCTACCCAGTGAACTGTGAAATGGAGCATCAGATCTTGCTTCCTGACAGCCTTTGAACTGGGGCATCGCCTCTCCAGAGTTTGGAATTGAAACCCCTGTAATAACTTAGGCCAATGATTCAGTACATGAATCTTCCCCAGGTTCTGCTCCTCTGAGAATCCTGGTGAATAGAGACCCTGGGACAAAGGCTTAAGTCTAAGTGGTTTCCCTTGGAGGTAATAACAGGGATGGATAGGGAACATGAGACAAGGCTGGTAGAAAGGGAGCATTGTTGAGCAGATTATCACTGTGGGCAGCTGAGCTAAATTGTCCTGGACATCCTCTGAGAAACCGTGTGAAAGGCATCCCAGGATTGTTCCATGAAGGCTGTGAAGTTGAGGCACTCACTCAACCTTCTCCCTTCCCCTGTTGGCAAGGATTGGATTAGTCAGATTTGCATCAATAAAGTGAAATACCTGAAACAGGCTAACTTGAAAAAGAGAGGAAGTTTATTTTGATGCACAGTTCTGAAGGGTCCCATTGGTCGGGTGGCATTCCTGCAGGCAGAGTCTCAGGGTGGCCCAGGGCATGACATGGCAAAACAGGGAGCCAGGGGGTCTGTCTGTGTCTCTCCATACAAAGCCACCAGGATTTGGTCATGAGGGCTGCACTGTGATAACCCAATGCAATCTAGTCACTTCTCAAAGGCCCTAACTCTAAACGTCATCATTAAGTTTCTACCCTCTTAGTACCATTAACATATGCCTGGGGACTAAGCTGCATGGGTTTAGGGGGGCAAATCTTATTCAAACCATAGTAGACATGAGCCCACTTGCCCTTCAAATGGCTGCTGCGCATGGCTCAGCTAACTTGCATGGAGCTACAGGGAACCCTCAGGCAGAGAAGCAGATGCTAGAGGTGAGAAGCAGGTGAACTCAGATGGGCCTAGAGAACATGGGGTAAGACAGCCACAAAGCCTTCTTCACTTGACCATGAATCTCACGTACAACAACAATTTTTTTTTTTACTCAGAAGATGTGTGTTAGCTCACGAAGCTCATTCCATCAAGGAAGCAAGCCATATCATCAGTGTACTATTACTACACATGATACAGCCATTCAGGTATCACCCAGGAGCATTAGTATTTTCCTCTCTAGTTTGCAGAATCATAGACATCTGAACTTACACTGGAATAGCTTCTTCATTCATGTTGTGTCCAGGCTTCAAAAGCCCCATCTCCGGTGAATCCTCTCCATTATGTCTGCAGACTACTGGTCCCCTCCCACAGTAAGGGATCTGCCAGGCTTTCAACCTAAAATAGTTTAGATAAGTCTGTTCTGAACTCCAGGTGCAAGCCTTAGAGGGCAAAAACACTAATGCTTTCTGACCTTTGTTGCATTATCATTAACTCCCTTCTCCACAATACGAGTATCTCCCATGGCCCCCTTCATTTCCTCTGAAATTGGCTCTGGTGCCCTTTCCAGTATGCTTGCTATTCATTTCAGAACTGACACTTTTCAGGTGTCATGCTCTGATTTCTTAGCTGGAATCCACTGGGAGGGGTAGCTAATGGTTACAAATTCTAAATCTAGCTACCAGCGTCCTCATGAATTCAGAGGTAATTACTGTAAGGTAACAATCTAAGTAGACCACCTTGCTGAAGTCTGTGGTGACAATTTTTAGAGATGTCTTCCCACCACTGCTCCTAGCTGTCCACTTCATCCTGTTACTGTTGTCACTTTGAATAACCACCTAAAGGTTCCACAACCACCTTTGCTCAAGGTCTGTAAGCGAAGGTGGCTTTCTTGGGCCTCTTTCTACTGACTGCTTTGGGACCAATAGAAACCAAATTTATAAACTCACTTCTGACCAGAGGCATCCTTTTCCATGGTGGCATCTGCAGACACCCATAGAGACTTTTCTGTCTTTTGGCTTTGGGCTCTGGGTACCCTATGGCGTAGCCACTTGTTACAAGTTGTCTGTTGAGATACTACTGTCTGAGGGCATCTGTCAGTCAGCAAGACTTTCATTCCTTCTGAACACATTGCACTTATCCTGTGAATACCCCCTTCAAATGATACAGGGCAGGGATTCATGCCAAATGTGGGCATCGTAAGTGGGCTGAGATGTCAAAAAAAGCTTCCACTAAAGTTTTCATCCGGGGCCAGAGATACCAGTGGAATCTGTTTCATTCCAAAGTTTTCTAGCAGTAGATTCCATCTGCTCAAGATGTTTCCCAATGGGAGAGTTGGCATAATGATCCATATCCCTGTAAGAGCCAATAAGAACAACAAAATAGTCGTACTTTTGTTTATAGTTCACTTGCACATGAATTTTGTTCTATTTTTCTCATACACCATTCCTGCAAATTGTCCAAGTAGTGGCCATTCATAATTTAAATAAAATCAGCTGGAAGGTTGTATCATCTCATCCCCGTTCTCTCTGTCTCTTTTAAAAAATATTTTTGTCTTCATTTTATTTGAAAAGCAGACATGCACATGAACACACATG